TTGCTAAAGGAAAAAACGAACCCACCACCCATTGTTCCCAGCCTCAGGTCCTCCTGACATCACCACTTCCAAGTTTCTTCCCTGACTAGTTTATTCAAACCCTGCAGGGCAAACGCTTGAAGAGGCAGTAGAGTAAAGTGCTGATGAGCCCACACTCTGGATCTGAAATGCCAAGGTTCAATCCCAGCCCTGCCATTTATTACCTGAGTGACCTTGGGTAAGTTGCTTAACATCTCTGGGCCCATTTCATCATCTGTAAAGGATAATACTGACTTCCTAGGATGGTTCTGAGGATTAGATAAGTTTAACATAGACGAAATGCTTAGAAAAGTGCTAGATATATAATACACACTATATATATTCTAGCTACTGTTTTCGTCTATCTCCTTGTTCTGTTCTTATCGCTTACTCAATCTGTATCTTTCCTCTCCAATCAGATTGTAATTTCTTGAAGGCAGAGGCCACTTCTGGGTTCCCACAGTGAACAGCACAGGCCCCCCCGAGGCGAGGGGACAGAGCTGTGGGATAGCTCTCCACGTAGGTTTGCTCACATGGTATCAGACTATGAGTAAGTCATTTAACTTCTATGAGCCTCAGTTTCCTCATTCGTAAAAAGAGATAATGTTTACCCCACAAGACGGGTGTGAAGATTAAATAAAATAATCTTTGTGAAATAAAACAATTCTGGGGCTGGAGGCAGTGAGAATTTCAGGGGAAACGAGGAGAAAGTACTCAGTCCATCCGTCTGCCTGGGTTCAAAGCTGGCTGCCTCCTGCTACAGGTACTGCACACGGATGGATGTGCAGGATTCAAACAGACGACGACTCTGAAAAGAGGCTTTGTGCCCTTCCACTGTCTATTTTCTAAGATTGTCTCTGACAACTTTGTGGTGGTTTTTAGATGCTTTCCTTAGCTATTAGTCAAACAAGAAAAAAAAAATACCACTGATTACAGCCAGCTACACGAAATAAGATATTCTAGTGTTTAAAATTCTCTCGGCTGGTGAGAGGATGTTACTGACATATCCATCAGCAGAGACAAACATTTTTAAACACAATGGAAGTGAAAATTAAAGTAGTATTTGAATATCTACTGTATTAGGGCACTTTACAAATATCTGACTAAATTACAATAATTCCACAAGGCTGACATGGTTATCCTCATTTTACAGCTAAGCACACTGAGACTCAGAGAAGTTGATTCAGCTTGTCCAAGGTCCCCAAATTGGAAATGGTGGAGAAAGATTTAAATGCAAATGTGCCTGGCACAAATCCTGTACCTTTTTTGTTACAGAACTGTGTTACATCTCCTGAAGTTCCTCAGTATCTTGTATTAGCTCTATTGCTAAGATCTGATGAATGCAGGTGAACAATATTAGACCTATAAGTGGAATTTAAAGTCAGAGTAACCAACAGAGAAAGACTATAGTTTCTACCATATTGCCATTAAAAAAGAAATGGTGCATTTCAAAGAAAGGAAGTTACGTTGTTTATCTTTCATAAAGTTTCAAGATGAGAAGAAACCTAAAGATAAGAGAATAGATGTCACTATATCATCAAGAAGAATGAAGGAATAGGCCAGACAAGGCACGGAAAATGAGCTGGGGCAAGCCTCTTATTTTGCAGAAGGGACTAGAACAAGAGGCTTTCCTGACCTCTGACAGAGTTTTCTTGTCCATAGTTCCTACTGCAAAGCACTCAGCTGCCGCCTTCCACAGCCAGCAGGAAGTTATCCAACCACCTCTCTAGACACCCAAACTCCAGGTTCCTCCAAAGAATCTACATATACAGGAAAAGGCACATTAGAACCAATCAGAGCATCATTTACTCATTTTCCCAATATGTTATCAAGGGAACAGAAGCAGAGGGATATAGACTGGGGAGATGGGAGAAGCAGACATATTTTCTAAATCCATCAACAAAATCTTCTGACATTCCAGCCAGTCGTTTCCAGACCTTTGGAATGAACAATGAAAATCTCAAACTATAAAATGATTAGCTTTCTCCTCTGCTGACAATGGCAAAATGAGGAAACGAGTTAAAAGACGGATTGGAGTCTCTCCATGCAGCCCCTACAAGCCAGTTAATTATCTTCCATTAACACTGGGCTGTCAAGATTGGCATCAGCCCGTTAACTTTCTTGACCTTCCTCAGTCTGCACCTTGTTACCCTACAACGTTTCATGTTTATAAAGATAGGAGACTCCAGCTGTTCCAACCTGACAGAACTTAATTTACATTTGGCCTTCATTAAGATGAGAGTCAGAATCATTGAGACCAAATGGAAAAGCCAGACTGCTGGGGGTTACGAAAAATTCAAATGGCATTTTTCCTTTTATCTGACAATTCTTATTAAGGAGACGTACAGTCAACCTGAAACACACAAACCTTAAATGTAAAGGACATGATTAAAATTCCACATTGTGGGATTAGGACCCGAGTGACACTGCCCAAGAGCTACAGTGGTCCTAGTACACCACTCCTGTCTGCTGGGAAGTCTGAACCCCAAATTCTGCCCAGCTCCCTGTGACATCTGATTCCAGGCTCAGGACAAGGGGCAATGAACAGCAGCAATACTGAAGGGAGAGGTCAGCTCTGCTCCTTCATCTCGCTCACCCGTCATGGCCAATCAGTCTCAACGTACTGCTGCTACGATCTCCTCTCCGTCTCACAGTGCCTAATTCAGGTCTCACTACTTCTCACCTGGAGGACTGCAACTGGGCCACTCAAATTAGTCAAAAAACATTTACTGAGTACCTACTATGTGCCAGGCATTTGATTAGCTGTAGGGACACAGCCATGGACATAATGGACACGATCTCCATCCTCCTGTGGATTACAGCGGTTGGAGGGGGCAAGCATTATACAAATCATCGTATGAACTGACATATCATCACAATTTATGAAAGACACAATGAAGTAAAATTAAGAGTGCAATGACAAGAGACCTCTGACTTATTTGAGGGTCAGGAAAGGCTTTTCTAAGGACGTGACAATAAAGCTGAGACCTACATGATGAGTTAGAATCAGTGGTGAGTAGAGGGAAGACTATTCAGGGCAGAAGGCACAGCATCACGTGTCAGCAAGCTTTTTCTCTAACTGTCCAGAGAGTAGATATTTTCAGCTCTGCAGGCCATACAGTCTCTGTCTCAGCTACTCAGCTCTGTCACTGTCATGCAAAAGCAGCCAGAGACAATACATGAACGAGTGTGGCTGTGTTCCAATAAAACTTTATTTATGGCCACTAAAATCGTAATTTCCTATAATTTTCACAAGTCACAAAATTTTATTCTTCTTTTGACGCTTTTTCAACCATTTGAAAATGCAAGACCCATTCTTAGCTTCTAGGACATCCAACAACAGGCAGCAGGCCAGATGTTGCCACAGGCCGCAGTTCACCAACCCCTAGTCAAGACTGTGAGGTGGCGAAGAACTGGGTGTGTCTGCGGCCCCTGAGTGTATTCCTGTCATGGATTAGCATGAGCCAGGTGAGGGCACACAGAAACCCGAGAGGGGAGGTAAATATGGCACCCCTTATCATCTTCTGGGCCACCTTACAAATTTTGGAATTTTCCCTAAGAGCAGGAGACTTGGACTTAGATTCTGGCTCTCCTATGTGTTTGGGAAAGTCACATAACTCTCCTCTCAGCCTCAGTTTCCCATGCTGTCCACCAGGCAGAGGTTGTCAGGACTAAATCAGTCCATGTCTGTAGGACACAGAGCAGAGTGTGGGGCAGCACAGAGCAGTTCATACTCCAATCTGTATTTCAGCACATATTTGGATCAAGTTTTCAAACTGTACAGTCCAACTCTCTCACTTCATACATGGAAAAAGTAAGGCCAGGGATGAGAATTGCTTTGCCCAAAGTCACACAATGTGATGTTAGTAGAGTCAGAATTAGAATCCTAAAACCCCCAACTCCTACGACACTGTTTTCAAACTCTTAGAAGCCCTTCTACAAATTAAAACTTACAAAACAGCTAAATATACAAGACAGCTAACAAGGAAGCCTGCCTTGATTACTGATGCCCTTTTTGCTTATCTCCCTTCTGCCCCACAGTGGCGATCCAGGGACACCTTCTCAACACCCTTATACTCCCCCTAACCCCATACACATTTTGAGTAATCGAAGACTCAGCCCACCTGAAACCTCAGAGCCAGTAAAAGAATCATGCCAGGTCTTACTCATTCAATGGATTCTCTCCTCACCAGACCACCTAGGGGTTTTCAGCCCCTGGGTTTCCTAGAGGACTTGAACTTTCTCACACACCCATCTCTAATGGGAACCATGAAGCTGACATCACCATTCTCCACACTCCATAAAGGATCCTAACATCTGGAAATGGGAACCACCTGCAAGTGCTTTGTCCCAAGATCACCATACCACTCGAGCACAGGGAAACTCCAGTTCAGGAGAGACGAGAAAGGCATACCCTAAATGCCACCAAGGCCAAAGATCAGCCACTGGGGCTAAAAGTGCATGGAGAAAGAAGTTCTGGTCAGAAGATCTGGACTTAAATTCCAGCTCCGCCACTTTCTAACTGGAATGGGAATCACCCTCTCTGAACCTCAGTTGGGTATTGGATACGAATAGAATCGATTTCAGAGTCAGCAAGTCCCAGGTTCAAATCCTGACTCTGTCACATACTCAGTGTATCACTTTGGGTGAGCTAGTTAATCTCTACTAGGTTTAGTTTTCTTGTCTACAAAACACAGACCCCTCCAGCCTCCCAAAAAAACCTACTTCGTAGCGTTGCTGTTAGGATTCAAAGAGATCATCTGTGTCCAATACTTATCACAGTGCCTTACATGAGTCAAGCATATAAAATCAGGAATGATTTCACTGCCACCTAATCAATGAAATGGGATCAACCGTCCTCACAGACTTGCTGGGAAAATCAAACATAACGGACTTTCGCAGGGTGCCTGGTACAGACAGATCCACGACAAACGGAACCCTCTGCTATTCTTAGTATCCTCGCCTCTACCCTATGCACTCACCTCTTTCAGCCACAGAAGCTTTGGGGCCTGCATTTCCACAGACATCACACCCCCGACGTACTGCAGGACGCTGTGCTGGGTTTCGTTGATCCTGTGGACCTGACTGACTGCCCGGTGGTCCAGCCACATGATGACGTTTCGATGGGAATCCCCTAGGGAGGGAGATGAAGACACATGTACGTTCTTGTCCTTCTAATTCCAGGGGCGCTTATGGGTTCCCAAGGGCAAAAGTCTGCACAAGGACTTGCACAATGTCACACATCCACAGTGAACACGGGAAGGACCACCACCAACACTGGTCGGTACTCTCCACCCCAACCCTGGATGGCCCCTCAAGAGACGTGTCCTTTGAATATAGCCCCAGGGTTAAACGTCTGCACTAAAATTAGTCAAGATCCACCAATTAACTATATCATCACTCATTCTAAATTCTTCCTTTCCTCTCCTATCCTTTCTGTTCTAGAAAAACTTTTCCGGGCATATTCAGGAAGAGAGCCTATGAAATAAGCCTAAAATAATACTTTGGCTTTTTAAGATCTGTCTCCTTTCAAAATGGACAAATATTTCAAGGGAATAATACATCTAATACAATACATCAAATACATCTACACAACAGCTTTTATCTGCTCATATTCCCACTTCTTCTAGTCACTTTAATTAAAATTAGTTAATTTAGGTGTTTTCTCCTTGCTTGGTTTGTTTGGTGGAGTGGGAAGCATTGGAATTGTTTCAGTTTTAGAACCATTCAGACCTAATGGGGAATGCTGATTCTTTCAGTTATAGGCAGAGATATATTGAGAAAGTTATTAAATTTTTCTTAGCCTAAGAGTCCTTAGCTATAACACAGGAACAACAACACCTAACAGCATATAAGGATTAAAGGAGATTTTTCATTCATTGAACAAAAGACAATGTGCATACGGGATACGACAAGTACCTATCACATAGCAGGCCCTCAAGAGGAACACATCACATGGAACAGAACTTAAAACTAGCTAGAAAGGGAGCGTGGGCACAGCCCCTCACGTCCTACCTCCACCGTCCTGCAGCCCACACTGGGACTAACTGCCCCTCTTTCCCTTCCCCAGTCTCTGCTCATTCATCATGCACGCTGGGACAGCCAGTATTCTCTCCAGGCCTCGGCTTCCTCAGAAGGCAAAATGCAGAGACCAGCAATGAATACACCTGGGAGACTGTAAAAGGGAAAGATAAAAGGGACCCAACAGTAACTGAGCCAGGCACTTCACACATTATATTTAATGGCAAAATCCCCACGGCAATTATATAACTTTGCTAATAACAAATGTTTAAAAAGCTATGTGTATGTGTGTGTCCCAGGCCCTGTGCTGAACACTTTATGCACATCATCTCATTTAATCTTCAAAACAACTCTCTGATCTCGGTCACTTTCAATGACAGACAGACTTCAAAGCTGAAAACACGCCCACTGTCTCACAGCTGGGAGAAGCACGAAGTGTGTTTCGAAAACAGATCTGGGCAGAGAATGCATAAATAAATTGGGAAAACAAATTTAAACCTGAGCTACATGCTACATGTGTATCAACATGAACAACCATACCAGCTAGGATATTTTTAAACACAGTATATGTATACTGTTTGCTGTTGCGGGTACACACATATGTGGTGAGAGCACAGAAACAATGTGTCTGTGAACACCCACCACAGTAGAGCGCTCACCAGCCGGGCAGGGGGTTGGGGAGGCATGGGCTGAAGCTTCAAGTAGTTCTTTCTTTAAAAAAAAAAAAAATGACTTGTGGCAAACCTGGCAAAATTTCTTGTCTATCCTCAGTTGTGGGTACACAGGAAGCTGTTATTTTATTTTCCTTACTGTTCCACATCTTTCAGAAAGAATTTTTAAAACATAAAGAAACGGCAACCTAAGAAAATATCTAAATTAGGTCAGCATCATCTTAATAAGGCAAGGACTCAGTCACTGGTTTGCCTGCCTGGAGAGATTTCAAATCCCACAAAAGTTCCTCAAACAACACTAACACTTTGAAAACAAGAGAAAGTACATGAGACCTTCCACAGGCACGTCTAAGATTTTTTCTAAACAGCTGAGTGATTATACTGTATAAAAAAAACTGCTTAAAGCTCTGGTTCTCGGCCTTATTAGAATCATCTGGGGCAGCTTTAAAACTACGGATGTCCGGGACCCATTCCAGAAGCACCACGGGATCAGAATGTGGGTGTGTGGGCACACACAGGTCACACACACACATGCACATAGTGTGGGTGTTTGGGTGCTGAGGGGGACAATATCAGTATTGCTTCTTAAATATTGTACAGAATGTACCTGCAGCTACTTGAAGACAAAACACTTGTCTAAACTTTCACCTGTAAAGACAGACCCAACAGCTACTACTGCCTCTACCTGAAGAGGCTCTCAACATGCAGTCAGAATGTCACAATGAGAACTGCACAGAATTGATTACTTTATTAAGTTTGTTATGTTTATTAACTAATAATTTTCATTGTAGACAAAAACTTGGAAATTAATCTTTTTTCAGTTCTTGTAGAAAATCACAAATGAATGACTCCACTGAAAGTTCATTCATCTCTTATTAAGCATCTAACACATCCCAGGCACAGTGCTGGGTGCTGTGACACCGAGAAGAACGTACCATAGTCCTGGCCCTTCCGGAGCATGTAGCTGAATGGAAGAACGGTCCCTATGGTGTGTCAACTGCCAGGGCAGGAAGACCAGACATGGAACACAAAGGAGGAGGAGCACAGAGAAGGCCCTAGTTAGCTGAGCCTGAGGCTGCACAGAGAGCTTCCAAGAGGCAGGACAGCTTTAATTTAGTTCTGAAAATGACCGGCCATTGGTTAGCCGGCTGAAGAAAAAGTGAGGAAGGAGGTTCTACACAATGCAGACAGCATGCAAAACAAACAGAGCACAGACTCAGGAAGGCGTTGTATTGTGAGAGACCAGGAAGCAATTTGGTAGAGCAGAATTTAGGTTATACAGTCAGTATACCTAAGGGCAGATTATTCATCCATGTATTCATTCAATTAATATTTTGAACACCTCACAGCTGTTCCAGGCATACTTAAGGGAAATTACTGTGAATCAGCAAAAACATCTAAATGTTAGGTTTCTGTTGCAGAGCAGCGTAGGTAGTGACTCCCTCCCAACCCCGAATTACCACCCTTGGGTCCTCTTCCTCCCACCAGCTCCTGTGGTTGAGATGACCCACCCAGAGTCATGCTCTGAGCTACGTGGGCTGCAGAGGTAGGAAGCACCATTGTCCAACCCAGGGGCCGTTCTGCTCTTCAAAAGGAGAAAGATCAAATGAGAAGGCTAACAATGAGAGGATGTGACCATGTCGGAATCATTAGTGTTCCTACGCTACTGTACTTAATTTACTTGCGATTTTTTTTTCTTCCATTTTTTGGTTACCATCTAAAGATGGTAATGGTTTTGCCCATCTTGTGAGTTTGGTTTAATGGTGATAGTTAATTTCCTGATCACCTCCGATCCTCACAGTACTCCAGATAACCAGTCAAGAGTTGGTCAGGCCATGTAGGTAGAAGAGGTCTTTAAAGAACCTTTAAACCACTTTAAAATTCGAATTTCATTTTCTCACACAGGATAATCCACTTCAGATAAAATCTAACCTTAATAGAACCTGTTGAAAGGCAATCAACTGGTAAGGGGCACCTGCACTGGATGTATTTGATGAATGGGTACACTTTAACCTTTTAAGTGGAATAAAATTATTTCAACACTTATAATTAGGGTTGCAGCCTAGCTACCCTTTTAACAGAAGGCCTGTTAACAGGAGGCAATTCTACCTGCAACAAGAGAAAAAGATGGCATCCAGAGAGGGTGTGTATGGAAGCAGGTTTGACAGGAACTCTCCTCTTCCACTTCAAGTGTCCTTGTTCCTAATATCTAGCTGTCCATTCATCTGCACCTAGTGATTCTCCATGTACTAGAATTATCGAGGAAAATTTTTTAAAATGCTGATGCCCTAGCCTCACCGCCAGCCAAGTGAATACAAATCTTGTGGGTAAGGTTCATGAAATGGTAATTTAAAAAGATCCCCAGTTGATTGTAATCTATAGCCAGAGTTAAAAATCATGTATTTTAGCAGATTAGAAGGTATAGAGTCCTTGGAACTGAAGGCTCTTAATATCCAAAGTCCAACCCAAAATGAGAATTCCTCCTACAGCATCCATAACAGACCATCACCTCACCTCTACTTAACGCAAGCCAATAAAGGAAGCGCTGACAGCCTCCCCAAGCGGCCAGCCATGGATCTCGTAACTGGAGAGCGCTTGCTGCTAAGCTGAGGTCTGCTGACTCAGCCTCATTCCTTTGGTCTCTGCTTTCTCAAGTGGCACAGACCAGAGCTGCCCTGCCCTCCTGGGCCAGAACAGTGCCAACTGAGCCAGTGATCAGCCACTGGGAACGAGGACCATTCATATTCGTCTTTGAAGCCCCAACACTTAATAAGACAGGGCTTGGCAAACAGGAGGTGCTAATAAATGTGGCAAAAAGGGGAAAATATACGTGTGAGTGTAAAAGATGGTCATCATTACCACTGTGCTCTACCATCCATTTGCATATTTTTTCAGCACATGTAATTTATAAAAATCACTGTTCTATGCATTTGGTCCATAGAAGTGAGTGGGACACATTCTATCAACTTAAGGAATTCATAATCGGATGGAAGAAACTTTTCTGAGCATTCAGGTGTCAGGTTCTCACTTAATTCCCACAACAAAGCTACTGTTTCATTATTCCAGTTCTTTCAGAGGAGAAATCCTACTGAGAGATGCAGAGGTTAAGTGACTTGCTCAAGGTATAACAGTTCAGCAGGAGCAGAGATGAGATCTGGGCCCTGCCCGACACCAGGGTATCCCATGCGCCTGAGTATCCATAGCCACCAGTTAAGAAAGGCGCTGCTACAGCAGTGTCCACTACTAAGGGTTCTTACACACAATCTAGCCCAAAACACGTCTGCAATGGCTATCTGGCAACCACTGACTGACAATGCCGAGAGCCGCACTCCTTTAGATGGAGCACGCAACTTCCAGTGCACCACAGTCTCCACCACTCCCAAATGTCTTCCGCTCATTAAAAGGTTAAGTATCAGTTGAAATTTATCTCCACACATGTACTGTTGTCTTTCCCAAACCTGGCCTACTTTACTCATTCACATTACCTACCTACCTGATTATAGGCTTTTGGGTTTGCAACCTCAGTGCTAGCACTACTGGCTAAAATGCCTCAAAGGAGACACATCCTCACCCATGACAAATTTCTGATAGTGAACTCAACTGGCACTTACATTGGAAACAGCTCATTACTGAACTCACAAGTGTCTATTAAAACAACATCATTAAATGAGAATATGCTTTAGTCTGGCTATTGAAAATAGACAGGCCATCTGTTTCAGCTTCTGTGTGATACATGGTCCTGTCTCCCTTATTTTATTTCCTTTCAATGGTCTTGGCTCACCACTCACATGAATGTGGTACAGGAGCTTCAGATGCAAAGTACCTGCAGCCGACCTCCCTTCCTAGCAAACATCCAGACCAACGTCTGTTTCAAGACTACTCACTCTGAGCTAATGATCCCACGTCCTTCCTTCATCAAGCTCTCTACTGTGGCTCTTCTGCTCTACGGAGCCAAGTCTCTTTCTAATCTAGCCCCTGATGTCACCCCACTCCCACCAACTGCTCTCCAAGCTTTTCACCTCTGGGACACGATTTCTTGCCTCCATGTTCCACCTCTGACTCTCACTATGTGCAATAAGAGACACCTGACCGCATGTTCCACTGGCCCCAGCCAGTCTCCCACAACCAGGGAAAGAGGGAGGAAGGAATGGTCCTACCTTCATGGTTTACTGGCAGAGGATGAAACTGCTTATCCAAAACAACCAGAGAACACGTGGCATCAAACCCAAGCCCTCGAATTTGGTTTAAGTCGATCCCTTGTACAACTTTCTGTTTTAAAACAAATAAACAAAAACATAAATTACAATGCAGGCTTTTAAAAAACTGAAAACAGTTACAACTAGAAGAAAATGAATGACAGAATAGAAAAACATATTTACGACATAAAACAGATAAAAGTTCAATATCACTAAAATATCAGAAGATCCTATAAATTAATAAGAAACAGACAACCAACCTAATTTGAAATTAAGCAAAGAACAAGTCACTTCATAAAATGAAAATAGTCAAAGAGCACTTAAAAAGATTCCCAGCTCCACTGCAATTAAATAACTGTAAATAAAAATACACGGATCTTTGCTTTTCATATTGACAAAAATGTAAAAGATTAGTAGTATATAGCAGCAACAAGATAAGGAGAAGTAAACCTTCTTTCACATTATTCTAACAGTATAATAATTTAGACAAATTCTGACGGATAATTTAGTAGTATTTGTTAAAATTAAAAACATGCAAAACTTTTGACTCAGCAATTCCACTTCTAGGAACCCATCCTAGCAAATTATTAGCATGATTAAGTAAAGTTATATGCAGACAAAGATTAACTGTAGCACAGCTTAAGAACATATTGAAAAATTGGAAAAACTATTTTTTGTTCAATAAATTATGGTACATCTGTAAAATGGAATATTCTATAGACATTAAAAAGAAAGAGGTAGAGAAGCAACTTCTGGGTGCAGTAGTACAAAGAGGTCAGCAAATCCTCTTAGCAAATAAAAGTATGAAACCGGACAAAATCATCAAAAACAACCATTTTGGGCTATAGAACTTGATCAAAGCCACATGACAAATTGAGAAGCATTTATTCTTGAAAAATCAAAATTGTACTTAAAACATTCTCACAAAAAAAAAAAAAAAAGACTCTAGGACCAGATAGCTTCACTGGTAAATTCTGTTAAACATTCAAGGAAGAAACAATACCATTCCCACACTAACTTGTGTAGGATATAGTGAAGGAGGGAACGTTTTCCAACAAATTTTACATGGCCAGCCTTACCCTGATACCAAAGCCAAACAAAGACATCAAAAGAAAAGGACACTATAGACCAATCTCTGCCATGAACACAGGTGTAACAATCCTTAACAAACCTAATCTTGCAACATATAAAACATGCATTATGCACCATGACCATGTAGGGTAACCCCAGGAATAAAAGGGTGGTTTAATATCCATAATCAATTAATGTATTACACAGATTAACAGAATAAAGCACAAACACCAAATGATCATCTCAACAGATGCAGAAAAAAAACAAAACACTTAATAAACCAGGAAAGAAGGGAACTTCTACAACCTGATAAAGAGCATCTACAAAAACCTACAGCTAACATCATCATGGTAAGATGAATGATTCCTCCCTATTAGAAACAAAGCAAGGATATTCTCTTTCACCACTTCTATTCAGCCTTGTACTAGTGGTTCCAGCCAATGCAACAAGGCAAGGAAAAGAAATTTAAAGCATACAGATTAGAAAAGATGTTAAAATGTCTTTTTTTGCAAAAAACATGATCTCATATGCAGAAAATCCTAAGGAATTTAACAAGAAAAAAAAAAGCTAGCAGAACTAATAAGCAAGCTTAGTAAGATACAAGATTAACATATAAAAATCAATTGTATTTCTATATGCTAGCAACTAACACATCAAAATTGAAATTAAGAGGATAATTCCATTCACAATAGCATCAAAAAATCAAAATACTCAGAAATGAATTTATCAAAAGAAGTTCAAGACATATACCCTGAAAACTACAAAACATTGCTACAAAAGAAACTACAAATTGGAGAAATATGCCATATTCATGAAATGGAAAATTCAACATTGTTAAGATGGCAATCTCCTCAAATTAATCTACAGACTCTACACAACCCCTATTAAAATCTCAGCAGGTTTTTTTTTTTCTTAGACATTGATAAGTGGCTCCCAACATTTATAGAGAAATGTAAAAGACATAAAAGAGCTTAAGCACTTTTGAAAAGAAAGAACAAAGTTGGAGAACTTATGCTACCTGATCTCAACCTACTATAAAACTACCACTACCAAGTCAGTGTGGCACTGGCATAAGAAAAAATCTATAGATCAATGGAACAGAACAGAAATATAAGAAATAAATGCAAATATTTAGAGTTAATTGATTTTTGATAAAGGTACCAACACAATTCAATGGGGAAAGGACAGTCTTTTTCAGAGTGGTGCTGGAACAAGTAAATACCCACATGCAAAAAAAAAAAACCACTTTACACTTTCAGACTTTTACCTCATACTATACAAAAAAATTAACTCAAAATGTATCCTCTCTCTAAAATATAAGAATTAAAAGTATAAAACCTGTAGGAGAAAATCTTTGTGACATGGATTAGACAAAGATTTCTTAAAAAACAAGACTCATAAAAGAAAAAATTGATAAATCTGATGTCATCAAAATTTTAAAATTTTGCTCTTCAAAAGAAACCATAAGAAAATGAAAAGATAAGCTACAGATGGGGAGAAAATATCTGCAATTCCTACATCTGATAATAAACTTGTATACAGAATATACAAAGAATTCTTACAACTCAATAATAAGAGGACAAACAACCCAATTATAAAATGGGAAAAAGATTTAAAAATACACATCACCAAATAAAATATATAAACGGCCAATAGGCACATGAAAACATGCTCGACATCATTAGTCATTAAGGAAATGCAAACTAAAATGACAGTGAGACACAACGACATACCTACTAGAACAGCTATACTCAAAAAGATGGACAATACCAAGTGTCAGAAAATTGTGGAGAAAGTGGAACCCTTGTACATTGCTGGTGGAAATGTAAAATACAGCCACTTTGGGAAAAATGTTTGGCAGCTGTTAAACACAACTTACCACACAACCCAGCAATTTCACTCCTAGGTATCTACCCATGAAAAATAAAAACATATGTCAACACAAAGACTTGTATAAGAATATTCATAGCAGCATTATTCATAATACCCTAAAACTGGAAACAAATCAAATATCCATCCTAGTTTAACCAAATGGTTAAACAAAGTGTGGTACATCCATAAATGGAATAGTATTCAGCAAGAAAAAGGCTCGAACTACTGATAGAGGCAACAACACGAATTACCTTAAATACATTATGCTAAGTGAAAGAAGTCAGACACAAAAGAATGCATGTTGTAGGTTTCCATTTATATGGCATTTCTAAAAAAGAGTAACTATAAAAAGAGAAAGCAGATAAATAGTTATCTATGACTGAGGCAGGGGACTGACTGCAAAAAGGCAAAGGAAAATTTTGGGGGTAACAGAAGTGCTCTAAAATTGGATTATGGTGGATGATAGCACACTGTGGAAATTTAATAAAATGGCTGAATTACACATTTAAAACAGATGAGTTTTATGGTATGTAAATTATACCTCAAGCTGTTAAATATTAAAAAAAAGGTGAGCTATAAAAGATGAAATGGAAAGATACCCATGATATACTAATAAGGTTAAAAAAAAAGAACATACAAGGAACTGTTAATACTGGTTGCCTCCACGAGCAGAGACGGCAGCTGGAGGAGACAGGAGATTCTTCACTTCATGTAATTTTTAAAGTTGTAGAATAATAGATTTATTGATTAATTCTATTTTGTATTTTTGTTTCTATAGCTTCCTTTTTTGAAAAAGCATGAGTGACCATAATTGTTAACATTTCCCGTTAACTTAAAACATGTCAATAACCTTTTAAATCCCACAAAAGTCAACCCAAAAGCATCCATCCCCATTTAAAATGCACAGTTCTTTTTTCCAGTTTTGGAATGCCAGACTTGTCATTTAGGATTCTATTTGTTACTATTTAACATGTTCCTCAAAGAAGAGCTGCACAATTATTATAGACTTTCAACAAAGAAAGCATTAAATTTTTTTCCAATAATAATACAATAAATACGAAAATGCTACCATGTATTGAGCACCTACCACGTGCCAGGAGCTCTACAGACATCTTATTTCATCCTTACACAGCCCTCTGAAGAAACATTTAGTATTTCCACTTCATAAAATATAAAGTGGAGCACTGGGGAGTGAAGGGGGTGAGGAGGCCCCAGAGATGGAGGAACTTGAACTTGCTCCCACCACACAGCCAGGAGATGCCAGAGCCTGTGTTCTTTCTACCACACCACACTGCCCGCCTCTGCCATGAGAGAATTTCCTGTTGCCCAAGAGACTCCCCCTGTGGAGTGGGCATGTGCTCTAGGGGAGAACACTTACTAGTGACCCCGCTGTGACTGCTGGCAGTACCTCTGCCCACAGCACCAGGTGAACGCCCTGTGTGCCTTTACTACACTGACCAATCCAGACTTAGAAGAGCGTGAGGACCAAATCCAATTCCCTGTCAGGCAGCACGGCCTCATGACAGTGAGTCACCAAGACCTGGATTCAAATCCTAGCTCTGCCACTCTAGCTATGTGACTGAGGGCAGGGTACACAATTCCAACCACTTCAGTCCTTCTCTTACCTTGCTGGATCACGTCTCTACAGCATTTATAGGCGTGGCTTCCTCTGCCTGGAACGTCCTTCCAACTTGGCTTGGAAATCTCTGGGTCGTGGTTAAGATCAATGGTGTTGGGTGCAGACTGCCTAAGTCTGAACGATGGCTCAGCCACTTGCTAGTTATATGACTTTGGGAAGCCAGAAAACCAGTTTCCTTGGTTAAACAAAGCTATTACTTATACCTACATCTCCTAAGGATGTTATGAGAATTCAGCAAAATAAGGTATGATTAGCCCAACATCTAGCGTTCAATGCACAATAAATAGCAGCCATTATTAGAGTAAATTAGCTGCCTCAAATCTTCTTTGAACTCGTGAGGCATCAATCAATCAATCAATCAGCCAGCCCTAACTTCTACCTGCCATGCGGCCCTACTGGCCTCCATGCCCAGAGAGTATATGCCCGACTTGGGCAAGCCCATCTCACATAGGCCTGCAGTTAGTCAAAAGAGGAACTGGATGAGAAAATGT